GAGGATGATGCGCCCCCCCCCCCCCCCCCCCCCCAATCGTAAACACTCACCTGTATGGTTAGATTTTAACTAAAGTCCTGATAGTTTCATGGAGGATGTTGTTGTTTTTTATCTAGGTGACAGATCTCTATTTGACCGTTGTTTTGACCTTACAACTTGACCTCTACCCTGTGCTCTGTAGTGTTTTGATCACACTGTTCTGCTGCAGTATGCTACTGTACTACGTGTGTAGAAATGTGGGTTTGATGCTTTTTAAGACCTAGATTTTGTTAACACTGCTAACAAGGATAGCAGTAAAAGCTGTTTATTTGACTACAGTGTCAGGTTTTGTTACGTGAGCATGACAAACCAGTGGAAAAATCACATCATGTAACTGATGAATAAATGTGTCATCATTTGCGACACCTTTTTATAAATTGTCCACATTACAGCACCACCCACAGACAGGAGCAGATTTTTTGCATCACTGTTTCTACACAGAGAGCTGGTGTGGCTGACACGTGGTGGCTGAAGCAGCTGCTGTGTTATATTTAAAAAAATAATTGTTGATTTGTAAATCATTGAGACTTTTGTGTCCCAGATGGTCAATACCTGCATCAGTGATACCATCAAATATTCAAACCTCCTCCTTTCCTCCACCTTCACCTCTGTCATCTTGTCCCTCTATATTTTATTCAGCTGATGGGAGACAGAGCACTTGTCATCCTGTGGTGTTGCTGGCTGAGAGACGAGGCTCCTTCCCGCTGATCGACCTCCGCATCCTAAAGAGTAAGCCTCCACATACTCTGAGCTGTACTGCAGTACACATTACTGTATTATTATAGTTGTAATATCTCACCCTGAAAGGGACAATGGATTAGATTTCGGTTTATACACAAGTAATTGTTTTTTGCATTATTAAGTATCCTGTCTTCTTTGCGTAAATAATTAAAAGGCTTGATGTTTCATCACACTCTGAGCTTTAGCTTTATAAATGTATTTGCTAATTCAATATACACTTTGGTAGGCATGGGTAGAGTACACATAAATTAAATTAGTGAATTTGACTTTTAACATAATAAAAGCTGTTAATGTGTTATGTTTAACATGAATCTGTTAAAGTAAAATCCAAAATGTATCTTACACATGTGCTAAAATACATTCCTTCTAAACGTACAGCGTATATTTCCAGTCAAAATCATGCTCATGAAGATAGAGCTGTGTACAGTTACACCAAGCTAAGCTTCATCATCAGTCCAGGTCATTGTGTTGGATCTGATCTTGAGCATTTCCACCTGTGCACGTTCAGCCAGTGACCAGCGGGGGGAGGTAGAGTCCAGCACCAGGAAGAAGGTGAAGCGTCTGCTGAGCTTCCAGAGATACTGCCACAGCTCCAGGCTGTTGAGGGGGGATGTACCCCAAACCCCAGGGTCTCTGCACCTACTGGATGAAGACTACCTAGGACAGGCTGTGGTATGGACATGTCCAGTCAAGTTTGACCAGTACTCACCTCATCCAGATTACTCTAAACTGCTCTTCCCATTTTGGTTGTTGTTACAGCACATGCTTTCAAAGGTCGGCACGTGGAACTTTGACATTTTCCTCTTTGACCGTCTTACAAATGGTATGCTGACTGATGGGACAATGGGATTAAATGGGTTTTTTGTTAAAAAAAAAAAAAGAAAAAAGGTTCATATTCATGTTATAATAAATATTTCTCTGTGTTGCAGGAAACAGCCTGGTGATGCTGATGTGCCATCTCTTTAATGTCTATGGTCTCATTCATCACTTTCAGCTGGACATGGTCAAACTGCACAGATTTCTGGGTAACAGACATTAATTCAAATCTGAATCTTAACCCACAATCAAACAGATGTTCAGAATCTCGACTCTTTGACCACATTCGTTCTCCCCTCCTGGATTATGTCAGTGAAAACCAAAGACTGGAAAACACCCCTGCATGAATCAGCTGTGTGACGTGTTTTTTTTTTTTTTATTATTATTATTATTTCACCTGCGGATGTTTCGGTGCTGCGGGATGATGCTGAAATATTAGAGTGGTTTAAGTTTTCAGGAAAACCCAGACTGACGTCAACTGTTTTCTCTCTGCCAATCAGTGCTGACAAAGACGACTCTTCTTACAGTGTCAACAAACACAGATAATATGACAGAGAGGATATTGTCCTGTTAATAATGAATATCAGTTTACTAAATAGTGCATTCAGGTGCAGAGGAGTGACTGTTCCCTGTGTATTATTATGTGTCTTTTGATGCGTTCATTCGTTTTGTGTCTCCCCTCTCAATATTGCATCATGTACATATACTGTATAAAATATATATATATATATATAGAGAGAGAGAGATCTTAATGGTTTGACAGTCTTAATATATATGTAAATATAGATTATAAAATTAAATATTTGAATTATTTTCCTTCTGTCTCCACAGGCATGTTGCAGGAGGGCTACCATTCCCAGAATCCTTATCACAATGCTGTTCATGCAGCCGATGTCACTCAAGCCATGTACTGCTACCTGAAGGAGCCCAGGGTAATGGAACTTAAGCAGCATGTTCAAGTACATCCATAACTGTGTATTTGACCTCTCTAACTCATTGTTATTCATGTATACTATGAGTACTTCAAGTACTTCAGCCATCGCTCTTCATTTCCTTCTTTGCCTTTGTTTCCACGCCACAGCTGGCGGAGCAGCTGAGTCTCCTGGATGTTTTCCTGGGTCTGACCGCGGCGGCCGCCCACGACGTGGACCACCCTGGTGTCAACCAGCCCTTCCTGGTCAAGACCAGGCATCACCTGGCCTCCCTGTACCAGGTGAGGACCATGTGCATTACAAGTGTCTTGGTGTGTTTAACTTACACAGTGTCGGAGGTCAATAATGGTTTGGATTCTCACTCAGAACACGTCAGTGCTGGAGAGTCACCACTGGAGGTCCACCGTGGGAATGCTGCGGGAGTCAGGACTGCTGTCTCACCTGCCTGCTGACCTGTCGTAAGAACACACACACTGAACACATACACACACACACTGAGCACATACACTCACTAAACAGAACTTAAAAAAAAAATGAACAGTTTAAACACTGAAACATCATAACTAATACTCAGCTGCAACTAATTAAACATTCGTTGTCCAAAGCGAGGGGCTGTCATGATGGATTTAAAGATTTAAAAACAAAGACTCTCTTGTCTGAAAACGTCACATTCAGGACTATAGTTCCTGAATGCTAAAACAAATGCCAAAGTTCAAAATCGTTTTGGTGCTTCCGTTTATTACTGGTTCCTGCTCTTGATCTGGATCTCTGCCTGTGTGTTGGGAAGAAGACGGAGGAAAGATTATCTGTAAGTTTAACATTTTAACTATATCTATGATCTGTTTGCGTAAATGAGAAAGGAGTTGGAGAGTTGTTTTTCAAATTTGCGCTTTATGAATCAGGGTGTTATTGAGAACAGTAGTGAATAAAAGCACAGCTACCTCTGAGGAATTACTTTCACCATTTTACAATAAGCTTTCACAAGATTTCACAATCCATAGACAACTACTCGTCGTACACTGGGGGTGTTGCCAGCTCGATCAGACGGTGGAAATGTCACTGGAATCTTTGTGTTGCACATTTTTGTTAAAACGGCAGCAGTGGTCCAGGTTTGTCAGCTCAGTGTCGTCCTCTGCGTCCACAGACAGGACATCGAGCAGCAGCTGGGCTCTCTGATTCTGGCTACTGACATCAGCCGACAGAACGAGTTCCTGTTGACCTTCAGAGAACATTTGGAGAACCAGGACCTGGACCTTACACTGGCCTCACACAGGCACTTCATGCTGCAGGTACTGTGTACTGTAGTGTTCCACAGGCAACATTTGACTTTGATTTGTGGTTAAAGTTGTAAGGTTAGATGATATTATCTGTGGAGATGAGAGAGAAAGCATGCACCTTAACCATCAGTGTGTCAGAGTGGGTTCATGAATATTGAAATCCATAATCCTCTGGATCATCAGCATCACATTACAAACATAAAAAGACGTTTGTTGTCTCTCTGTCCTCAGATTGCTCTGAAGTGTGCAGACGTCTGTAACCCCTGTCGTGACTGGGAGCTGAGCAAACAGTGGAGTGAGAGAGTGTGTGAGGAGTTCTACAGACAGGGTGAGTCGCATATGGTCTGTCTGTTCAACCTTAAATCTAACACACCAAGATATCAGTGAGAAAAGGATTATCACTTCACCCTTTTTATTAAACATTTGTTATTGTATTCATTTTACTTTATTATTTCTGTTTATATACTGTATATATATATATATGTTCTTTTGTTTCACAGGGGACGTGGAGAAAAAATTTGAGTTGGAAATTAGTCCTTTGTGTAACCAGCAAACAGACTCCGTCCCAGCCATTCAGACAGGTGAGGTCAAAGTGCACACGTAACGCTGGTTCACACAGAAAAAATGATGAAAAATGCTGTTGTTTATGACAAACCTGGAAATCAAAGGCAAGTGAACAGAATTTGAAAACTCCGAATCTGATTTGTTTCACTTCTGTTAACAAGGGCTGGAGACTTGGGAGATAATTGGGAAATGAATTTAAAATATTTCTGACTGTCACATGAACGTCATGGAATCACCAACGCCATCACTTCTCCCCTCGTTTTCCAGGTTTTATTTCCTACATTGTGGAGCCTCTGTTTGAGGAGTGGCAGCGTTTCACACAGCCCAGCCTTTTAAGCCAGACCATGACTGGTCACCTGAAGAAGAACAAAGCCAGGTGGAGCCGGCTGAGATACGCACAGGCGTCTGTGGACGTCCACAGCTGCTCCCGTGACGATGAGCCTGAAGGAGGAGAAGGAGGCGGGGAAGAAGAGGAGATAGAAGAAGAAAACATCCCGTGATTCTTCTTTGTGTGGTGAGGTGTTTGATTTTTAATAGAGTTGAGGAGTTTTTCCTCTAGCAAATTTGGTCCCACCACCCTGTGGACACGGGCTCTGAGGACCAGAGCCCCTTGACAAGGGGTCCGGTCTCTGTGAGTGGGAGATGGATTCCTCTGCTGGCGTTGTGGACTGAAGCAGCAGACGCACGGACGACGGATGATCTTAGTGAATAGATGCCAACTAAACAAAGCAATTTCTTTAAAAGCTGTGAAAACTACTTTACGCCGAAGACGCCGAAGTTGAAATTAAAATTCATGAACCAATGTTCGAAGATGGAACAAATGAGAACATGTTTGCACACTGCTGCAGGAACAATGAAGAAAAGCCAAAATATAAATGAATCAAACAGCTGGACTGCGCTGTAGAGGACGTTATCAACCAGAGTAATATTAAGAATCTATCGCTAATACAATGCTTTTTAAACGTACGTACTCAGACCTTTTCACTTTGTCTTTTTTTTGTACAGCACTGTATCCAGGGTGCGTTTTACTGCAGCACTCATTTGGTGGGTAACACCAGCTGTAACCAGACAAGAGCTCAGCCACCGAGCTGGACAACACACAAGCCAGAGCCATGCATTTAAATTTAAATAACGTGACGTTTCAAAGAGTACAACGTTGTCTGTACTTTGTTGTTGGACCTCAGCAGGTCACATGCCAACATCACACACATGTTACAGGGTACAGCTGTCGGGACGGTGTCGCCCACTGAAGCACTGCTGTTGCCTTAGTTCATCCACTCATCAAAAGACCTCACTATAACAAGCCTTAACAATAATTCAATCCAGCTGTGATGTTTTCTTCAATGTTTTTCTTACACAATCGTGTCTGTTTTTTCTTCTTATCCGACCAACATATTGACATTCAGACATTCACTAATATCCACATTTTGATGATTCAAGGACCTCTCGGCTGGGATGGAATCATACAGTTCACTCTACTGTTTTCTACATTTTCCATACATTTTTTCCAGATTATATATATATATATATGTATATATATATATATGTATATATATATGTATATATATATGTGTATATATATATATGTATATATATATGTATATATATATATGTATATATATATATATAAATAAAAAGACGCCTTGGTTTTTGGGCTCATACAAACTCCACTACCTAGTGTGTAAAACTACTCTGCGGTATCTAATCAGCTGGTGGTTTGTTCAAGAGACTTGTACTGTACACTGACTTCACTGACTTCAAAATATGTGCAATTCATTTTTAAAGAACATCATAGCTAAAGGTGTACTCTCAGTGTTTCATAATAATGTTTTAGCTCATATAAAGGTAAAAAAAAAAAGACGTATAAAGTATTTGTCAATATTACTTGGTCTGTGTGTAAGCTGTACTTTTACTATAACACTGTATTTATTTGGCCAATCTGCCTAGAAACGGTAGGTTGTTCTATATGAGGCTTTCACAATTTAAACTGCCCTGTACGAGCCTGTGTATCCGCCGCACACAGGCCCGAGGCCGAAGTCTTCCATGAGCTGCGGCAGAAAAATAAGCTGTTTAAAATTAAAATTAGATTTTCACAGGTTCAGTCAACCAATAAGAGAAAAATGATTTTTTTGATGAGGTTTGTTTTTTTAAATGCACAAAGTGCAGTGCAACATCTCGGCCATATTGATGTTAAAAAACTGTCTTTGTAACTTATATAACTGTCAAACAATAGTACTTGTTCAATATCCTTCTATTATAAGTAAGTAAGTGGAGTACATGTTTCAGTTGTGTGTTGTTCTCTGTGTCTAATACTAAGCTACAAAACTTCACACTGTAAATACACACACCGTGAGCATAACGGCTAATGGGCTCTGTTGACATATACTTTTACACAATGTGAAACATGACTTAGTGCTGCCTAAAACTGCAGTAATGGACGGTAAAACTAGCCGAGACGGCAGCTCTTGCAGCTGCCTTCTGTTCCAATACCTCTCACAGTCAGCAGTGATACAGGGTTTCTAAGCCATACTGGTTTTACTCACTCAAGTACAAATATGTACAGTAAGTCTTTAATAAACATTTTTGTATCAGACGATTGAATAACTATTATAATATTGACTTTTTTTTAAGAGGATAACTGCTCACCAAATGACTTGTCTGGCTGTGATGTTGTCTAAAGAGATTAAATCATGAACATCTGAGGACAAATTTGTTGATTTCCAGACAGGAAAATGTTGGACTTCTGTATTGTCCAAAATAAAAAAAAGGCTATCGCTCTCTAACCCTGTAAACCAGAGGTTGTGCATGTTTAACATTCTTAGACGTGGTTTCATGTAACAGGCTATTCTCATAGAACAGTCATCAAGGTGCAGCTTTAACACAAACAAAATAAAACAACACGACACAGTATATACATTTACATATACAAGACAGTACATACAACATTCATATGGAAATTCTTTTTTTTTCAAGAAGCTCTTCAAAAATGTTTATTTTCACAACGTGTAATTTTTAATTGGCAGGAAATGCAGTCGTTTTTCAAAAATGTTTTTTTTTTTCGAAAACATCTTTTGGACTGATAATCACTTAAATGCTGGTACTAGGACTGGTCCAAGCACCAGCGTTTGGCTGTACTGTATACTATTGAAAGTTGAAAGTCTCCGGTTGTCTTTGTTCAAACTAAAACTAATTTTGTGTTGCTAATACTTAAAAAACAAATTGTAGAATTTTATGCCAAATGGAGTATCAGACGTATTGACTGTACATCTCTGTTCTAACAACCGTCCTCTGAGCACTGTGAACTCCAATAAACATTTTTAGTCCACATTAGACACATGTTCCTCTGTGTCTTATTTTTTATTCAGCTAACTTCTATCGTTGTACCATCGTTGTACTATTGGAAAGTTTTCACTGTTCATTATTTTGAATTTAAAGTACTTGTTTGCCATTTCATTACTTGGTTTGGCTAAGTAAAACAAATCCTTGAGCTAACATCCAGTTAGCTACTGGCCAAGTTTGAGATTATCTCGTTGGCTCTGAGCTATTTTTTTAAGTCAGCAGTATAGTAAAAAAAAAAACATACAAACAAAAAACTCTTGGCCAAATTTGAGCTAATTTAAATAAATGAATGTTCAACATTTAATGTGTTCTTTAAAAAAAAAACTGTATGTAAACTGAACTTTCATGTTTTGTTTGCAAAAAAGATAGTGCTATGACGACAATTGTCCAATAGAGGGCAACAAAACCATAGTCATGTATTTATGGAAGAGAAAAGCCTGAGCGGATTAGAGCGTTCAAAACACAATGCCTTGTTTACAGTACAGAGACAAAGAACAGCGTGAGTCCAACTCATGTGAAAGTAACCACTCTGATGGGCAGACAAAAATCTAAAATATTGTAATATAATGTGTATTATAAGTTACACTGGAAAAAGTAACCAATCAAGACTGAAATATTCCCAAAATACAATAACTTCAACTGTTAGTTAAGCAATAAAGAGCTGAAGTTTTTAAAGAATTATAGTAAACTGTCATCGCATGTTATTGCTGTCACGTCATAAAAAGCAAAAGATCTTTTCAGTAATATCCACAGTTAGCCTAAGATGATTAACAATTACACAGCACAGCTAGAAATGGTCCAAAATAAATCCAAATATATTTTACAAACTCTAAGAAATGGAAAATACCTAAATTTAGCAAGTACAGTTACAAATGTCTAAAAGATAACAACAAAAACACCAATTAAAATAAACAAAACAAATTTTGCTCATTTATTGTTGTTTTATTCCTTATTTTTTAAGCCTGATATACTTGAAATGGTGATTGATGAGAATGTCGTGTCATGACCGAGATGATTGTAAAAATCTAAATTCAAGTTACAGACCACCTTACAACATGTGCCACCACTGGCCCACGGGCCTGATTTTGACATTCCTGACTGAGGTGAGCAGAGAAAGTGGACCCGTCTGTGTGGGTCTCATTTGCATGTCTCTGGTTTGCATTGTAAATGAGAATTGTGGATTGTGAGAAAGACTGAATACGCTCGTAATTAGTCACCTCTGGGATCAGGTTACACTCAGGCTGTGAACTTCTCCTTTGTGTTTCATCTTTAGCTCAAATGCCCCAACACAAAACAACACAAGAGTGTTTTTCTTTCTTCAGGCCCTTATGGGCAGTACTCTTGTTTGTGGTACTTGTGGGTACTGCTGTCCTAAAGATAGGAGCACACACACACTGATGGAAGTAATGTTTTTAAGACTCCTATCTGTTCATCAGACCGTGACATGTGACATCCATACAATACTCAGAAAACTCTCCCTCTCCCTGTTTTTTACAGACACACACACAAAGATAAAATACACACACACACAAAGATAAAATACACACACATTTCACTCCAGTCAGTGAGTCTTCATCCAGCATGTGTCACTGTAAATATTGACAGTGCAAACAAAGCCCCCTCTTTTGCCCCTCAAAAGACAGGCAGCCAATCCAACCACTCCCTCTGTGAAAACACTCAGTCCATCACGTCTATTGTGCTGATAACCATCTCCCCCATAATGCAACTGTGGCAAATAAAAAACTAAAAAAAAAAAAAAACCGCAGTGAGGGATCAATTACTGTATTACACACATTGATGGCATCTTGATGTGTGTGTGTGTGTGTGTGTGCTCATTTTTACCTGAGCAGGAGCAATTTGAGGTGTGAACATGCTTGAAAGTGAAAAGTGAGACTGCTCTGTTGGTTCTGCAGTGAAAGGGTTAATGTATGTGCAGCCCGCCTGGATCCATGTTCCTGATATATACTTGACTTTTCTTTGCTTCTGTCTTTGCAAAATAATGCTTTGTGTCAACGTGCAACAACTCCTTGATTGCAATAAATCAAATGTAATTTTCGTTTTGAACTAACATGATTTTTTTAAGACTTAAAAAAGAATACATGACTCACTGTATTATTATTATTTTTTGTACTTTATACTTCATTGGTTTTGTATGGAAGCAGGCTTGGACATGAGGAGTATGAATAAGAAATGGACAATGGGGTAAAACAATTGAAAGTTTGATATTTCATTGAACGTTCTGTCTTTTTTTTTTTTTTTTTTTTTTTTGTGGTACAAAAGAACCAACAGCAGGCCGTCATTTGTTTTTCCACTTTTCAGCTGGGAACTGGCTCAGAATTCGGCTCCATCTTTTTTTGCTTTGGTGGATGCTCTTTTTATACCCAGTCTTGATGATCGGCAGATTGTAGACAAGACACAAAGTCACATTGGCGTCAGTTAACATGACAGCAAAATGATTTTCTGTTCCACGTCACATGTCGTGGAGGTAACTCTAATCCTCTCTGTGTTTTACAGTTGGTCCCCCCCTCCACACACACTGAACCATGCAGGAGTATACATAAACACCAATACACAGACAAGTCAGACGCACTCAGTCTCCTTCACTCATGATCACAGCAGTGACTGTGAAGCTGAAGCTCCTTATCACCGGTGGTACATTTTGTTCCCATCACTGCTTGGTACTTAACACACACACACACACACACACACATAAATACACACTATATGAATTACCGACAATGAACCTTTCACATGCACTGTATGCTTCTTATTTTTATATATCTCATATAGTTTAAACACCAGGTTATGTTGTGTTTTTACGGCTTTCCGAGTGATGTTTGATTAAGTGTTTGTCAGAGGAACACAAATTTAGAAATGAGTCATTTGCATATTTGCTGTCGTTAAGTAAGGCACAGCATTAAAATTGTAAAAATGTACAGTTCAACAGTGTGGTCATATTAGTTATAAAATACTGCTATATGTATACCATAATGTAATGTACACAATACAATACAATACATTGGCACAGTATATGTGAGGCAACAACATACAATGTGATCTATATAATGAAATACCATGTGGTACATGGTATTACATTACATGGTAATATGTATTTATATATATATATATATATATTATATATATATATTTGTATATTTGTACAT